GATTTAATATATTCTTAGAAATAAGTTCTAATTTAATATTTTTCCTTCTGATATTTATCCAAGTACCTAATTGCATTAAAGAGTAAGCTAGTCTGGATTCTTTAGTATGTTTTTTCTTGTTTTGTACTATATTACAAATTTTCTTCTTTAGCAAATTGCTTCTTACTGATACGAGTATTGTCTTGCTTATAATATCTCAAAGTTTATCTAACTCTAGAGATTCCTCTCTTTGTTGTTGAGTTTTCTTTATCAGGCTTGTTATGCTTGTACTTTTTTTAAATAAATTATTTATCTGCTTTCTATAATTTTTCTAATCCTTTTTGAATATCTTGTTGTAAAGAAAAACTGTTTGTATTTGTTTACCTCTTCTGCATACTATAGTACTTTGAGATGTACTAAGATGCTTAAGGTTGATTCTGGCTATTATTGCCTTATGATCACTATTTGTATAAACATCTATTTCTTGTATTTCTGTATTGAATAGACTATATACAAATTCTTTAGATAGCCATATCTGATCTATTCTTGTGCTTGTATTCTTATTTATCTATATAAATTTTCTGGTTCTTGAATAGATAAGATCATTTTAAAGGTATCTGAGAATTTTTGTCTTTGTAGCTAGTTTAGAAAAGAATCTTGTTTAACCTGCTTTAAGATAGATGTTTTGTCCAGCTCTGGATCAGTTATACTGTTGAAACCTTTCATTACTATAACTTGTGATCTGAGAGATTAGTTAATATATTTTTTTGATATATTATCTTCTTTTCATGTTTGTTGTTTGGAGGAATATAAAGCATTATTACTATAATCTCAAGTTATTTGAGTACTAAACTCACTGAGATTAAGTATTCATTAACTTTATCTATTTGCTCTATATATTTCTCCTATTGTTTATTTATTATTAAACTGATCTCTAAGCTTTTCTTCTTGTCTTTACTTGAACTTGACCAGAAGCTTTTAAAGTTTATATATTTCCTAGTTATCCACATTTCTTCTTTACTTGAAATGTTGGATTCAGCAACTCCTAAAATGTCTATTTTGTTATCTATTGCCTATTCATATAAAAAATCTATTTTATGAGTATTGCTCTTGATACTATTGATATTATGAGTAGTTATATTAAGTTTAGTTTTTTTTTTTGTATAATTTTCATTTGTACTGTTTATATTGTTCATGTTTTCTTTTCAGATTGTTAAATATCTGAGTATAACATTTTTGCTTTTTCTGTCTTTTATATCTACTGGTCAGCAAAAGATTATTTTTTCTTGATCAAATTCCTTTATGTTGTCTCTTTGCAAAAAAGAGTTTATTCTTTTGTTAATTGATTGTGATTCAACTGTTGTTTCTATTTAGAAACATTGAGCAAACCAAATTCTCAAGATGATATAGAATCTCTACTAGTATTGATTAATATTGGTCGATCCTAGCTATCAGATTGTTTCTTTTGACTGCTTTTCCATTTTTTGCATCTTTCTTTTTTTTTAGACTAGTACATTCTTTTCTTTTTTTTTGAAACTTTTATTATCTTCTTCATTACTACCTATTATAACATTAGTATTAGACTTTTCCTCTTCTTCTAAAGTCACTGTATTATATTTGTTTCTTCTTTCTTAATAGAATTTTATCTTCTTGTTGCTAGATTTTTTTCTCTAATTCTTGTTAGCGTTATGTTTCTTTTTTCTTTTGATATGTTTTCTGTTATGAAGTCTTCTTTCTGTTTTATTTCTACCTATTAGAGAATTAAGTTGTTATACTTTATAGACATTTTTTGTACTTTTTCCATCTTCTGTTTATTTGCAAAGGTTACTTTTGCAATTTGTTTCATATATCTATTTCTCCTTTTTGAAATATAAACTGTCTTTGCTTTTCTGTTTTTAAGATGTCTTAACAGTAGGGTTTCTGAGAATCTTTTTGTGATCCTTATAAGTTTTGCAATGTACTTGTATCTTTTGTCTCTTTTTTCATGATCTTCTTTCCTTATAGATATATGAGCGAATTATCCATCTTCTACCGAAAGAGTCTAGAGTATATCTATATTTTTTAAGTCTTCACTTAATTTTACTACTGTCAGAGCTCTACTATTTCTTCATTTAATATACATATTTTCTATAGTATTTAACTTCTTATAAATATACTTAACTTCTTTTGTATTTATATCTACTAATAGATTTCAAATTATAATACAATCTATATTTATATATCTATTGTGATTGTAACTTCTAGACATCTCTGGCTTCTCATTGTAATATCTTTTATTTTGGTATGAGTTTTTTTCTATTTTTTGAGTAGCTTCTTTTGTGTTTTTTTTTAGTTTTAAAGTCTAGATTTGGTTTTACTTTTGATTTATTATTCTGATTTTTTTGTCTATATCTTGAGTTTCTTGTTTCATCATTGGTTACTGAAATTAAGCAAAACTAATCCCCTTCTTTTTTTTAAATTTTTTTAATCGCTTCCTCTCTACTATATTCATAGTCGAAGTCTACTTTTACCTAACTGTTTTTGTTAACAAATACTTTCTGTACTGACTTTATATGTTTGTTTCTATTCAACATTCCTTCTATATTTGTAGTTCTTTTATCAGAGAAGTCTCTGAGTACTTTGAATATAGGTGCTTTGACACAGAATGATTTATTATCTTTGTATATTCTGTTATTCAGTGACAAAATACTTTGTTCGATCAAACCACCTGCTTCAAAAAGTTCTGTCTTCTGCTTAAGAGGCTTTATTATTATAGTTCTGCTTTGTTTATAATTTGTGTTTTGTTTAATTATATTGACTAAGATACTGCCTATTGGTGTCTCTTTGTCTTTTTTAATTTTTTTACCTCTTGATATGTCTGTGCTATCATTTTTAGCTACAAAATTTCTTGAGGATTCGTCTTTTAGAATATGTATACTGTTTATTTGATTCTGCTGTTTAGATTTGATTTTTAGGTCTTGTATTTGTTCTACTACTCTATTTATATCTCTATTTGTCATTTTTCATCACCTTGCTTTTGTTTCTTAGGACCAGTTACTTGGTTTATAATAGAGTGAGTTTCTTTTTCTATTCTATCTATCTTGTTTTTTCTTTTTTGGATTTTCTCCTCACTCATATTTGTTATATACTCAATTGATGCTGGGTTGTTTTTTGCAATCTTGGTTTTTTTGACTCAAATTTTAACTATATCTTCTTAAAAGCAAAGATCTGCCTTTTTCAAGGCATCTCTTACTTGTCTATATAATAAAATTTCAGATATCATTATACAATCTGGATTTCTTATTACTAAATCCTTGATTAAGTTATCTATATTATCTAGTTCTATTGATTTGTATATTAATAGAACTTCTATTAACTTATTATTATTTACATACAGTCGACTCTGAATATACCAAACCTGGCTATACCGAAATCAGGCTATAACGAACTAGGTCTAGCAAAATAGAATTTTTATAATAATTTAGGCTGGTTATACCGAACTCAGATAGTAAATCTTTATATATCGCATCCGAACTCTTTTTTACTAGCCAGGACTATGTATTTATATGTATTTACATTTCGATATAACGAATTATCATATGACTTTATGGATATAAACATTCATGAAGTCGTGTGATCCAAAATATTCTGAAAAGAAAATGAACAAACACAAAATTATGGGTAAAATTCTGAAATTTTCTGGTTCTTTGCGTGATTTTATTGGTTAGCTTTATATACTGAACAGTTCAGTACAAAAAGTGTAAATTATATAACGAACTCACTCTATACCGAACCAAATCATCCAGAATATGCAGTTCGGTATATTCAGAGTCGACTGTATCTAAGAACTTTTTCGCTTGCTCTATATATATATACCAATAAACTAGTCATAACTAGTTTTGTTGCTTCAGTTTTTATCTGTTTCTAGAACTTTCTAAATTTTTTTTTTTTATTTTTTTGTTGTCTTTTAAATAACTATATGCTATAGTTTCTTTTTGTTGTTGTTGATTGTTAATCGTTAGTATTTCCTAGAATAGAATATGGTTGTTTGTTTGTTTGTTATTGCTGTTTGTTGTTGTTTTCTAAAATAGAATATGTCTACTTTGTTTGTTTGTTGTTTTAATAATTACTTGTCATGTGTTTCAAATTTACAGAGTTTAGAACAAAATTCCAAATTTTTTAAATTTTCTGTTAAAAATTTTTAGAAGATATATTTCTTTGAGTTTGCTTGTTTTCAAGTTCTTGTATTAAGAAATTTAAAATATTTTTTTGTGCTAAGTCTTTTTCCTTAATGTCGCAAGAGATGTTTTCTATATCAATTGTTGTTAAAATCTTTATTCTTTGTTTTAGTAAATTTTGAAATTAATGATTAGCAGAAAGAGTTGCTATGTATAGAATATATTATAAATTATTTAAAAAATATTATTTTTTATTTGAATTATTTAAAAAAAATTATTTTTAAAAATATATAATATCTATACTTCAGATTTATACTGGTTTCCAGTTCCTAGTACAGTCAGACCTCTCTATAATCACATCTTCAGAATACAAAAAACTGTGATTATAAAAAGATGTGACTAATATAGAGATATTTTTTATATAATTATAAATAATTGGTAAAAATAAATTTGTAATTATACCAATTTTGTGACTATAGAAGAGGTGATTATAAAGAGATTTGACTGTATATTTATATAATAATCTTAATAAAGAATTACTAACAAGGTTGCTAAAGATTAAAAAAAAAAAAAACAAAAAAAAAAAATTTTAATCATTTTTTTAAAAAAATCACTCTTATCTTGAAATTTTGCTTATAAAATTAACTTCTATGTTCTAGCAAAAAAAATTTCTTGCGAAATTTTAGTAGTTTCTTCTTTTAAAAGCCTACACTTACCCTAACACTAACCCTATACTAATCAACAGTATTTTTTTTAAAAAAACAAATACATAAACAACAATGATTATTTTCTTTTTGGGCAGGGGTATCCCCCTTCTGTATCCGTACCAATTTTCCGATATCTAAATTAGGTCGGATATACGGGTTATCTCATGATTTTACAAATATCGATTTCTTCCCTTTCTGTAGCACTCAACCCAAATCATTCATAATTCAACATTTTACCTATTAAACTGCTTTCTGCGCATTAACAAAAAGTTTTCCTTGCGAAATTTTGATATTAGAAAAATTTTCTTTAACCTAACTTAATAGCAAAACCTAAACTTAATTTAATTGCGAAATTTTTTTTAGCGAAGTTTTTTAAGTTGGTGTCGCTATAAGACCCTAGCGTCACCAACTTAAAAAATTTCGCAGTTAAATTAAGGTTAGGTTTTGCTATTAAGTTAGTTAAAGAAAGTTTTCCGAATACCAAAATTTCGCAAGGAAAACTTTTTGTTAATGCGCAGAACGATTTTTTGGTTTGTTTTGATTTTTTGTGTTACACCGGATCTTGAATTCTGATTGGCTGGCGAAATCGAAATTTTTTAGGGTGGGGGTGATGCTAGGGGATTGTGACGCTAGGGTCTTAAACCGGAGGGGAGGGCTTGGGCAAAATTAAGCAAAGCCGGCCCATTCCGACACATAATTCGGGCCGATCTGCTGAATTATGACTGCACGCATGTTTACTATATAAAAAACACAGCATTCGACAGGGTACATGATTAGTAATCGTGAATAACCGCATAATTTATAATTGAACGGTGCTAATCCATAGTTTTACAGATAAAAATTGCTTTTGAAAAATAGGGTTGTAAAATTGGTCATTGCACTGACGACGAATTCCTATTTTTAAGTATTAAGTTGAAACTCGAATTTTAAAAACCACGGTTCAGAATAAAAAAGAGATCAAAAATTTGATTGCCCTTGAAAAATTTTATTACTCAATTTATTAAAAATTAAATCTTCGAATCAGATGGTATTAGTATTTAAGTGTTTCTAATTATACATGAAGTCTAAAGATACTAATAACAAAATCAAAAGTATTTACAATTTAATATCCACACAAATAGATCATTGCAGTATCTAGCCGTATAACAGAGTTAAATAGATCATTTACAATTATTGAATCATTTATATTTCTTTTTTTTCTGTTTCTTACTACGCGATTCAACCACATATTCGGATCCTTCCCTTTTTTTGCTCTTAATTAGCATGTCCTCTTCAGACAAAGATAAATCCTCTGATTCCGATAAAGGTAAATGTGATGCTTTACTTATTAACTTTTTCTGACTACGAAGATTTTGTGCTAAGGACCGTGGAATTGAATTTTCATCAAATTGGACTTGATTTGAACTCTCTGCTATTGCATGATCTTGAAAAGGTGATGATATTTTTTGATTGTCAGTTTGGGTGAATTGACCGTTTTCAGAGACTAATGAGTTAAATTCATGACCCTCATTTGTCTTCATTCTTGATTGAACGTTTAAAATAACCTTATTAGGTGGAGTAACAGACTCTAATTCTGACTCTACATTCTTGACACCTGCTATTCCTATTGATGTAGGATCATTATTAATATGCGAATAAAATTTCTGTATCGTGTCAGATGATTTTTGAGAAGATTCACGAGACTTTTTAAGCCTTAATGTTTTTGAATTCTGCTCGTGCATTCCTAAATATTGAGAGGAATTCATCTCAGATATGCTGGTCCCTGAAATTTGTTGTACAGTATCATGAACCTGTTACGTGTGTTTTAGAAGATATAACCGTACCTTTTTTGCCAGCAGAAGAAATTATAGGATTAGAAGGAGCAGACTGATAAATTGGTCCAGAAAGTTTATGAGAAGCTCCAAGATGAGTAGTTCGATTGTAACGAACTATTAAGGTTGGTACCGATCTAATTTTTCTAGGGGAATTCCAACACCATGGTCCTCTATCTTCTCTGAACTTAGCATTAAGAAAACGTCTGACTGCCAAATCAGAATCTTTTTCAACAAGAAAATCGAAAAATTTTGCAACTTCTGGTTTTTGGTGTAAATCCAACGCAATTAATGCTTCGAAGGCAGCAATACGAACTCCAACATAATTACCATATCTGCATAAATTAGAGATATAATAAGTGGCAAAGTTTTAACAATCATAATAATAGTAGATTATACTAACCGTGCATGAAGAACAAATTCTCTACCATCCACTGCGATTAATTGGTTTAGCATAAGATGCATGCGAACCTATAATTAACAATATATGCATGTTTAATAAAGTAAATGGAAATATTAGAAACGGTAGTTAATAGACACTACCTTAATAATTGCTACAACAATTAATGCTTGATATGAACCGAACAGTTCATGTCGACTAAAATATCTTTTTAATGTTTCCAAAGTCTCTTCCAAGTGATCTCGAGATTGGGAAGCAAAATCAAAGACTTCCACATCAGCAGATCCTTCTTGTACTTGATCATCATCTGGAATAAAAGTATTTCCCAATGATTCAATGAGATTAGCGACGAAATAATCATCGGAATACTAGAATCAAATTGATAGTTAATGTAAAGTCGTGAATAATATTAAATCTTTCTGTCCAACAAAAAAAAAAAATTAAATGCACACCGTATTTGTTTGATTATCGTTCCAGCTCAAAAGATAGAGTAAATATTCTTTTACATGCGATGGTGTATTTCCCGAATCTCGAGCGCATGATAAAGCATAAGGTATTGTCTGATTAAAGCATCAATTCGATATTAGTTAAATCGTTTGGATATTAAATTAAGGATAACTAGAAGTATACTCAACCCTTTGAACATAATATTCCTCCCAATCACTAAAATCATTTATCTTGGGAAAGAATCCTCCTTCAATCCGACGTTCGCAATAATCGGTTTCATATATTTTCATTAATTGACTGATACCAATGAAGTCTAAATCATTAGTCGCACACTGATTATTTTGTAAACAAATGGGAATTAATGAATTAAAATTATTTTAATTTTTACATGATTACAAACTATATACTGACTTTAGCCATTGCAAGAGCGGCATCCATTCGAATCCTGTAATAGTATCGCCAATCACGGATTGTTCGCATAAGAGTAGTCGAACACGCACGAGATGGTTTTTTAGATAACGCTTTTATAGCCTGTCATACGAATTAGATTTAATTCAGCATTTCAATTATCTGGCATAAATACGAAAAATATACGAACCTCATAATGAGCAATTACATCACGTGAAGATTCCAACAGCGCAGCCCACATATAATCGTCTTGTTCGAAATCAATGATTGCAATCCAACTAAATGCATCATCAACTCGAATCCATTCCCATTGATCACTAATTATAGCAAAGTGTTAAACTAGTAATTTATATAGGAATATTGAAATACAAATAACAAACCTAGTTGCATGATATTCCTGAACCCATTCTTGTATTTTCCAATCTGGGAGGTCTTCCGAATCAGATTCAGGATCCATCCCCCATTGTAATGGGAAATCTCTTTGGTCTTCATCGAATACACTAGATGGTGGGTGAGCTTCTAAATTACCTTTTTCACGGCGCATGTGTGGTCTGATGTTGAGTTTCGATCGTTTATATTTAGTGTGATAAAAAAGAGAATGAGATTCACGCTTTTCTTGGATATATATCGTATGTATATATTCCAATCCATCAGGTTCTTTAATTGCAATATCCATATGACCCTATTAACATAGTTGAAATTTAATATTAAATCTTTAATCATGAATCAATTAAAAAAAAAAAAGAAGTATGAGCTACCGTAAATCGAGGAGTATGTGTTGATTGCAATCCGCTCACACCATCAGAACTTGAAGCATTAGTATTTTCCTGTTCGAATTTAAACTCGACAGCCAATTTTTTTCGATTGAAGGTTGCACGTATTTTGAATTTTGGACAACCAGAACCATATATCCATTGTTTCTCGAATTTTTTAACTTCGTTACGGAGTTCTTGTCGAATTACACTTTTACACATCTCAAGAAATTCCTCCGTATGTAAAAAGCCTGGTCGTTTGCCCTTTTGCACATCTTCTTTGGCCCCATTAAGAATAAGGTAGATTATTCCTGGGATTCCACGACGATAATCAAGGAAGGTTAAACGTTTATTAAGCATCCAAAGAACAAGTGATGCTTTGAGGTTTATAAATTCTATATCCTTTGATTGAAATGGTAAAGAGATGTCTAGCGTGCATAAAGGATGACGGTTAACATCAAGATCACAAACGAGTTCAATGTCCTAAAAATAATACAAGATTTTAGTCTAATGTTAACATTTGCACAATAAATATATATTTTAAACGGTAAGATCTAGAGAAACTAACCTTTTTACGCTGGTAACGTGAATCTGGAATCCCATATATTTTTTGAAAATACATGCTTGTCCAGAAATTGGACAATCCACCTGCAAGCCAATAATCACGCCTAATTTATTGTTAAAGATAAAAATTTTAATGACAAATGGGAAGAATTTATAATAATAATAATAATAAATATTTTACCATGAATAAGGAGGAACAAATATTCCAAACCACTGCTGTGCCAATGCAGCTATTAAGGCACGCCTTGTCTTCTCCCTTTGATCAATAATACACTTGTTGTATAATATGTTCAAACTGATGTAGGATTATGAGAAATTAACAAATTAAGTAATGAAATATCAAGGATTTAAATTTACAAAGTTACAAATAGACCAATGCACATACCGACATATTAAAAGTCCGGCGCATACATTTACTTCGGAGTAAGAGTGGTCAACGAAAACTATTTGAAATCGCTTGAATGGAAAGCTTCCGGATTTTACAGTTGGATTATTTTTATCAAATTCAGGATGTAAATTAAAATGAGAATATTCTTCAATGAAATAATCCATTGCCTACAATAAACTTGTTAATGTAAGTAACAAAATTCTTTTTTAGATTGGACTATTAAAAAAACAAAAAAATAGTACAAATTTTAACATACTCGATGTAGCCAGTAAGTATCTTCTGTAGGTTCATCATCACCATCAGGGTATAGAGTAGGTAATAACCAGTGCTGCCATTCTTCAGAAATGTAAGCAATTATCTTTGGTCTATTAGGAGGAAGCGCTTCAAGAGGATAATTCAGCACAAATGGGTCAACGAAAGGACCACACACTACACCAATATATTGTGCTGGAATTGCAACTGGTTGATTATAATGAAATGTCCTTTGATTTGGAGAAATCGGAGAATTTGTCTGACGAATCAAATAAAAATAAAACAAGCAAATTATGTATCAATTCATTTATAGAATAATTATCGTAGATCATATTTACCATTTTAACAAGATTCCCACTACAAACTACCATAATCGAATTGAAGCCTTCTATATCTGTTACAGTTATAAAGAAGTCCCAGCTACAACGATCACGAATGCGATCAAGACATGGAAGCCAACACCTTGTTGCACCAGGCAATGGACGATTAATGGTGAACATGTATGGATCGCACTTAAATAACATATAAGATATAGGTCAATAAAGCAAGACAATTATCAAGGAGATTATCAAGGAGAATTATCAAGGAGGATTATCAAGGAGGATTATCAAAGAGGATTATCAAAGAGGATTATCAAGGAGAATTATCAAAGAGGATTATCAAAGAGAAGATAGAAACCATTATTATAAATTGATACCTGGGATTTATATTTTTGTTTATCATCATCAGGAAGTTTAAAATGAACTCCAGCTTTCGGTTTTTCTAGAATGAAATCGACGCGAACAATAAGTGGAACCCACTCCTCGGCCTGAAACGCCACATAAGAAAGTAAGAACCCGATTGAGCTTTGCAACAAACTTAAGTCCATTCACTTCATGTTAAATAAATAAATAAAATAATACATTAACTAGGACATTAAGCAGAACCTACTCACACCATTTATTATGGGAATGTCAGTTATTTCATCAGGAAGGTATATAGTTATCTCACCCACGATTCCTGCATCTTCAGACTCGTTTATTTCAAAATCAGCTAAAAAATCATTCACTTTTATACTGCTAATACCTGAATAATTAAAATTTTATAAGGAATATATATGTTATTTTTATTTGATCATTACAGATGAGGGTTAAAAATACCTACGGCATTGGCGACAATGTAATCTTATAATGTCAATATCAAATCTAAGTGGTTTAAGACTAATCTCTGTATAACCCTATATAATAGGAGATTAAGTTTAATGATAACATTTCTAAAAAAATGAAATATATGAATACATACCTTGACTGTTTGATTTAACATATCAATCTGAACGTCAACTTTTTGATGCTATAAAGTATATGGTAGAAAACAGATCAAAAAAGTATTATATTTCAAACTTTCAAATTGTTAGGTAACAACTATATGTAAAAAAGGTTTAAGAGGTTTCTGCACTTTCGTTAAAGTACGGGCAGAAGGAAAAAGAATCACCAATCTAGTAACTCAGTGGATTTTAAACGTATTTCAATTTGTTGATTTACCTCATGGGTTTGAAGTAACCACAATACGTTGGAGAGAAATTTGAATTCGTCTCCGTTGGAGAAATGTATAGTGCAGAATTTAAACCTTCTAGGGCTGTTGTACTTACCGAGTACACATAGCCACGCTCTGCTGTCTCGTCATCGACATATACCTTGAGTCGTGTATAAAGATCAGTTTTTTTTGCTTCCACCATTGTAGATTGTCATATAAACGAACTTTAAACTCGAAAGAATTTGTATTTACGTATTATTATTATGAATTCAAAATCCCTGTATCACGTGATACAGGGATTGTTTTACAATTTAGTTTATTCGAAAAAAAGGTTTTTTCGAAACGCGTTTACAAAATCTTAGGTATTTGAGGTTCTTTATGACACGGAATCATTTAACGTTAACTGCCGATTGTAATGACGGATCGATAAATTATTCTAAAGATCGGATAAATAGGTTGTACGTACTAGGTCTTTCATTATGCTCCGCCCTTGAAATTAAACCCCAATACGAATAAATAGCGTTAGTCAAGACTAAACAACTAGATTCAAGTCCCAAAGTTCGAATCACGTGGATCCGAACGCTAGATCTTTCAGGAGGATATTTCTGGCGCCAGTTCCAATTTGCAACCCTTACACTGGAAAACTTCTGATCTACCTATCTCGTCAATATTTCCGCAACGCCGCAAGTCTTTGAGATGCAGAGGATCAATTCTCGTCCAGGATATTCTTGCAGCTTGCGCTTCAGGTACGTTCAGAAACGAAAATAAGACCATGTTAAGAGCGTCCCCGCGGTTTTCGATCGAATCTCGCGTTGAACCTTCTCATCGTACAGTCGTCCCCTATATAGTCACCTATATGATCACATCACGGTAAAACCCTTATATAATCACGCAACACTTTACTATATAATAAACTTATAAAAAAAAATACTCTATAAACACATCATAGTAAAATACCTTTATATAATCACATAATTTGCGTGAGTGATTATAGAGGAGGACGACTGTATAAGGCAGGCCCGATTTACAACCAACTGGAGTTAAATTTCAGAATAACGGTGGGGAACTATTTTAAGATTTCTGTAATAAAAATTTCCATGTATTATATGTTCCTAAGAATTCATACTTTATTTTCTTACTTATAAACAATCTTATTTTTTTATAAATATGTTCAACATTAATAAGAAAATTTTAAAAATAGGACTAACCCTGATATTGTAACTAATCACATAAAATATCTTGAACACAAAGGACATAAATTTGTGATCCTATACTTAAATGTCGAATTGGTTAGTTACCGAAGATCTTAAGGATAGAACGAAGGTGGCCTTGTGAGTTGTTTAGATGTATAGCTTTCACGGATACTTAACAAGAGCCATAATGTTTATTTTATTATTTTTTTTTAAAAACATTATAAATGCTTGAGATTTTATATACTGTATAAAAATAGGATCCTGATATTTCCGCACCCTTTTTTTGGTATTTCCACACCCTATGTAAATCACTTTCTTTTTAACTTTGATCGAAAGTATTTCGGCAACCATTCAACCGAATTTTTTTTTTTATTTGAATTCTACGGATCTGTAGAATTCGAATAAAAAAAAAAATTCGGCAAATTTGTTGGATGGTTGTCAAGATACCTTCGATCAAATTAATGGCCACGGCTAATATTTTGATAGACGTTTAAGCAAAGGTATCTCGACAACCATCAAACCAAATTCGATGAATTTTATTTATTTGAATTTTACAGATCCGCGGAATTCAAATAAACAAATATTTATCGAATTTGGTTAAATGGTTGTCAAGTACCTTCGATCGAAGTGTTAAAAAAAATTCAAAATATTAGGCGCGACAAAATTTTCCTTGATTTTGGACAACTATTTAACAAATTTAAAATTTTTTTTTTATTTGAATTCTACGGATCTGTGGAATTCAAATAAAAAAAAATTCATAGGATTTAGTTAAATGGTTGTCGAGATACTTTTAATCAATGTTAAAAAAAAAAAAGGGGTGTAGAAATATCAAAAAAGGGTGTGGAAATATCAGGACACTAAAAATATTGTTTTTCAAATGTAATATACAAACAATAAACGCAAGTTTTTATGTGAATTCGAGCCACCAGGGACTGCTTTATTGATGTTTAAAATAAAAATAGGTGCAGGATAGAATACAGAGTAGTACATTATATAAATTTGTGCAATAAAGCTTCAGTTCAAAGTTAAATTTGCCGACTTTGATTTAAGCTACTTTGTTATTCACAAAACTACATTTATTGACAAATCAAACACTTTATTTATATAAAATACGAAATTGAAACGGTTCTTCTTGCAACCAATCAAGGACTATATTTAGAATATAAATTGGAAGGTAAACCTTATCGGTTAGTATTAGGGTTGTTAATGGAGTAGCTTATTTCTGAGCACTCCGGAGTAGAACCCAACCCAAGTTGAAGTGAGTTTAAAATTATTTCTTTAAATTTGGAGCAACCCGGAGCAACCCGGAGCACTATGGAGCAACTCGGAGCAAAACATTGGAGTAAGTCTAATTTAATGGTGTGGGTTGAAGATTGGGCCAATTAAACCAACCCAACCCAACCTATTAACAACCCTAGTTAGTATAGTAAGAAATATTTTTTTCTATTACAGATTTTTTAACCTCTTCCTATAAAGAAAGTATTAGATAAGAATATAAAATTTATTGAAGCTTCAATATATTAACTGTTAAAACAGCTAGTTATGCATTTTCAATTTGTTTGGACCAATATAAGTACACTTTTAGATACATAATGATTAAAAAAACACTCAATAAAAAACTTACTTTATATAGATAACTTTAAGTTACACAGCTTACCCACAAAATTTTTTCTCTGCACATGATATATAATTATTCTTTTTTTTTTTTTTTTTTTTTTTAGTTATTAAGGCCGATGTTACGGAGCTTACTGCCTTTATTTGTGTTTTTAGTTA